TCAGTATTTGACTCAATAACAAATTGGATTTGCTGACAAGGTCATTGTATCGACCATCGAAATTACGAAAATGATGACTTATACGATACTGCTGATATTCTTGTTTCATCAACTTGCTTGTTAATAATTTACCTCGTTTTAGAAACTGTTCATACGTAGAGCATGCTCTTGCGTATCGAATCATCTGAGATATATACACTCCGTATGCAGGTTATGAGGGTATACTGCTGCATAAGTAAGGGAAATTGACGATAGAAAAGTTAAAGTCATCACGTTTATCATACAGTTTGATTGTTATATTACTATTAACGTCATTTTCAAGCAAAATATCCTACATGTAGTATGAAGCAGAAGTGTCAAACTCCGTGGTATCTTTTATCTCAAGCTAACCAGGATATTTTGTACAAATATTAATTGACAATACGTCGTCGATATATCTAAATGTCGAGCTGAAGACCACAGCAAGTGTTTTATTTTTATCAAGCGGAAATAAATAAATTCTGCTTCATATGAATTTAAAAATAGGTCTGCTTATAACGGAGTGCAATTGGTACCCATGGAATTCCAATCGATTATTGGAAGATTGATCTCCAGAAATCACAGATATTGTCAATCAGAAACTAAGCATCTCTTTGATGTCAACTTCAGAGTACTTGTGTGTGCAATCAGAATATGTTTTATTAAAATAATTTTGCAAAAGACCAATGACGAGTTAAGTAAATTTACAAGAAACAACAAAACGATGCTTTTGTTGTCATTGCTGCATTTTGAAATTAAGAGCGAACTGATGCTTGATTAATTGACAAGTATAAATAAACAGAAAATCTAAACCTTTAATATTGCTTTTTATTCCAAATAACAACAATTTCTTTATTCTAGAAATGACTGAAATTACTAAAAATAAGCAAAATAAACAAGAATTTACTTTTTCTTTATTATTAATGTACTCAAAAGTCACGAATAATAATTTGAACACATAAAAGATATACTTTGAGTGTACAGTATCTAATTATAACTTTCAAATAGGGAAGGATTCTATTTTTTCCTGGTTGTTTGAAGGATGAAAATCTAACAAGGAAGTGTGAAAATAAGCAGGAAAGGAAAAAGGATATTTTATCTTTCGTTACTTGCCTAAATATCACCCATGTGCATCTTTTGGGATATGGTTGGAGGTGTCATGTAGATGTGCAGTAAGGTTTCGGTACATTATACACCTTTAAAGAATCCTTTTGAATACGGCCTATAACCTTTAATGTAACTGATGTCTAAACGACGGACAGTAGATCTAGGTACTCTTGCTTCCGTTTGCTGTTTGAGATTTGAATTAAGACTCTTATCCTTTTGTCATTTATATACTTTAAAGCAGAATTTATTCAATTGTTTACAAATCCAACAAAAATTAATCGCTTGCCGTGGCCTTTAACTCGATTTTAAATTTCACATATATCGACAACTTTTAACCAATAAATAGCGTATACAGAGTTCTTTTCGTCCCCTTTTTGGCATTCATAATCTGAAGTTTTTCATACTAATTTATTTAGTCCATTATTTATACACTGAATTGACGACGGATTTTTCCAATATTTCCCGATCATGACAAGGAGCGCACGGCGGGTGTGACCGGACAGCAGGGGATGCCCACTCCTCCATGGCACCTTATCCCACCTCTGATGTTTCTGGGGTCCGTGTTTACTCTGCTTTTATTTTGAATTGTTTTGGACTTTGATATTGAATATACTGTTCGTTATCTCCATATCCTTCTGATACTATTTTTGACAAATTTTGAATTGACCCAAACACCTGCCAGAGAAAGGAAAAGACCTGAAGTCCTAGATGAACAAATTTACCTGTTCAAATATCAATGCCGAACATACGCTGTTCCAAGTAAACAAAATCTAATGAACGATGTATACCCTTTCAAAGAAATTGGATAACATTTTAGTAAATAAATGGTTTTACATTCAATACAGGATCCGAGTAAGAAATATATGTATATCAAAACACCGCATAATTTAATACATCTACAATTCTAAAGAAAAAAGTACAGGGAATTGTAAATTCATAATCTTTTGTGTGTGAAAACGGTGAAGCTTAACAGATACAAAAATTAAATCGGAAAGATATCTAATGCACAGCCAGGATTGAGAAGTTTAAGCCAAATAATCTTTATAATAAAATATTCAAGAACGTATAGACATTGCTTGTTTTATTCAACCCTATTTGTTTGCGTTTTCAAACAATAAAACGATTTATTTTATAACAAAAATTTTCATTTAGGTTATTCTTTCATCTTTTGGCCCATATAGCCTTCAATTCTGAATTTTTTTTTAAAATCTGTGAATCTTATTAATTTTTATTCTTTGAGTTCTTTGGTCTATACATGACCTTGTCAATTATTACAATTTATAATTGAGTCAAATATACTTAATAAACTCATTTCATATGTTTTTGAAGAAAGTGTACAAGTGAAATTTAGTGAAATACCAGGGCAGTTCAAAACTTACGCGGACTGTGCAATTATTTTCTCTTACAGACGTCATACAGTTATGAAATTTCACAGAAATATGTATCTGAAAGATTTCAATAAATTTTGGACACAATTTCTGTATTCTAAACAAATTCTACTAAAATCATCGGTATCTTGATATCGCTGATGGATAGGTACGGAGCAAGACAAAGATTTTGAAGCAAAAGCATGCGGAATCCATAATTTAACTCATTAATTTTCTATAGTTCTCTATAGTTTTCGACAATTTTCTCAAATGTATCTTTAAATTGTTCTATTAATATGCATTAAAGATTTCTGAGGTGATATTTAAAGTACTAACAGAAATATAGTGATTTTTCTCTGACGCGATTCCCGTGAAAATGACTGTGAAAATGACGTCTCCTGAATTGACGGCGCACCACACTTTTGTTAAATTATGTGTGATGCTCGAGATCTCGCCAACATAGATCCAAAATATGCATAATTAAACATGTAATAAACTAAATTATTCGTGATATTCGTCCACACAAAGCAAATTGAAATTTTAGACCGTTAGACTTCTGTCAAAAGGCTATACGGGAGGACGGAAAGAAGATTATCGACGAAAGCATTATCTGGATTGTTAAGAACGTGATTGAGAGTCATTACTATCATACTTTATCTCATAAATACTTTCATTTTTTGGTTTTAAAACTAAAAAACATTCTTTGCTTGTTTAATAGATTTTAAGCTTGACAAGAAATGGTGTTTGAATGTTGAGTAGGTAACTCAAACTGTACATGTACTCTTTGGAAAATGTTTAGAAAATGAAAGCTTAATAACATATTTTTTTATAATGCCCGTGACGTCAAAGTTTTTGCTGCTCCGTGACTTAATGATATGTCCTGATAAATCACCCAAAATTGATACCAATTTACAACATTTTGATATGAAATTTTGAAGACCATATAAGTAAAGATTCTTTTATATTATGTGTGACATTTTGCCCGATTATGTCGTCAAATATTTTTTCAGTGCAACAAGTCCGCGTAATTTTTGAACGGCCCTCGTATGTGTACTGCAAAATCTTTTTTTTCTTTTTTTTTTAAATATGTTTCATTTAAATGTTTTCATGATACATACTTTTGAAATATTCTATAATGATAAATACAATACTTCAATTGCATCAGATAAGAAGAAGGATATTTTTTCCTGGTTGTTAAAAATAAAAATTTTAAAACGTCAGAAATTAGAATTAATAATCAGGAAGCAGTCACTGAAATAAGTTTACCAGAAATGAAAATGGACGTTCAGTTTTTTGTTTTGTTCCTCCGTGTCGCCCATCTAGCTGTCACAAACGTTCCAAACATGTGTGGGTATGGGAAAAGTATTTTTGTAAAGGTCATATTTTTTCTTGTTTTTGGGTACTAATCGGAAGAAACTTTGAATTTTGCTATTATTTTACAGTCCTGAATTATGCTGCGCGGATTATTTCTATGACAACAACACATGTACAGGTAACATTTAGTTATTAAAATAAGAAGTGTTGTTAAAATGTTTTTTCTCAATTGCAACTGCGCTCCTATCCATCATAGTTTTATGTAAAGCAAGAAAATACAAATCTTAATAATTTTCAAAACTACAAACAATTGTCGATTTCTTCTGTTTTATCGTAGAGTAGAAATATTCTCTAGATAAAATCGTTTAAATTGGCAATACAGGGGAAGTCATGCATGTAAGAGCTGCCACTTGGTAAAGCTAAAAATATCTTTGTAATTGATGAACTTTTGTTAACATTGAAAATCCATAGGTACATTTTATATATAATTTGAACAAATACCCATTGATGAGCAATGTCAGTACAATTATTTAGAACTTATTGATATGCATTATATATTTTATTACTATTCATAGAATGCCCTCCTGGAACATACAGTAGTAACTGTAGTGAAGAATGTCCTGAAGGTCGTTATGGAAGTAGATGTAGGAAATTATGTCCATCTGAATGTGCCAGCAACTGCAGCAAATCAACAGGGGAATGTCAGGGTAATTGAAATCAAATACTGTGTATGGATTCACTGATTGACAGAAGTTACCGCTCAGATTTGTAATATCTTAAAACATATTATATAATATATATATATAGCTATATGATGGTTAAAACTATACAGATTACATTACACTTAAATATGCAATATACATTCAAGTTTATACAGAGAATAACCCTGACAAAACTCCAGCCTTAAAGAATAACACCACTACCCAGCCTGATACACATAAAAACACTACCCATATCAGTATTGAGAAAAAGATAGAGGACTTTCTGAAGGATAAGCTATGGATCATTGCTGGAGCCACTTGTCTTCTTGTTATCATTTCATGTTGTTGTATTGGACTTTTCTTCTTGTGTAAGATTTGGTAAGTCCTTTATGGTTTCTATAAAGAATTAATTTATGAACATACACCTATCATATGATACAATCTCTAATGACATAAACATTTGGATATAGCTTTTTAAATTTATAAAAATCTATCTCTTATATTTATGCCTGTCATTGACTTCATTTTTTTTAAATAAAGCCCCTCGAACATTGAAAATTTAGATTTTTTTTTTAAATTTCGGGCATGCTTTTTTTGGAAAAGATATCATTTTGATGAGAAAATCTTATTTGAAATTGTAAGAACGAAGGGAAAACAAATTCCAATACTCCCAGTCATCTTTACGCGCATACGTTGGTGGTTTTGTGTAGAATTTATAAAATGACAAATACCGTGTTTACCAAAGCAGTTGAAGTACCTGGTGTATTATTATGAGAAAAAACAGCTAATGATATTCAGATTTGGATATCAAAATCCAACATAGCTAAAAGTAATTAACTCTGATAGTAAGGTGATTTATTAAAGCAACAGATTGGCGAGAAAAAGACGTTTGGACAATGATTTCTCTTTTGTAGATAAAGTTAAACACCTTTTTTCCCAGTAAATTGCATGTTTTTATATTTAAATGTACATTACGGCATGCTTATGATAATCAAGCGAAAGTAAGAATATCTCTTTAAAAAGCACGACAACCCTTTATTTATTTATTTTCTTAATATGATAACCATTCTTTGAATTAATAATTAGCATCCAATTTATAGGAAATATTGAACATATTGCCTTAAAAAAAAACAAAACTTTTAGGCTCTTCAATTGGAAGTATTTTTTTATAATTGTAAATTGAAGACATCAATTAATATATGGATTTTCTATATTCGTTTCTTTTCATTTCTTTTCAGTAAAGGCAGACAGGAGACAAAAGAAAAACTAGGTAAATTAGAATACATGTTTACTGTAAAAATCCACACATTAAAGATAGTCCATTTCTAAATAAAATAGAATAATATCTATTTCAAAAGATACATGTATATTCACAGATTGTATTTTTTTTATCGTGATACTATGAAAAAAAAAATGAGTATATCTCATAATAAATCAGTTTCTTGTATTTGTTAGATAACACCACACCATCCAACCAGAATCAACTTTCTTCGTACAGCGGAAGATATCTAAGTGACATAAATATGCAAAACAACTCAACTAGCCCCATGCTATCTCCTCGTGCTCAAAATTGTGGAAAAACTCATTCTTCCACGAATAAAAGCAAAATAAACCAGCCGGAAGTAGAATACAGTAAACCAAAACCAAACAATCGCTACAGTCTAGTCCGGAAGTTAAAGGTTTCTCAGGAATTGGCCTGCCCGGAAGTGTCAGTTGGAGATGATTTCGACAGTGACGAGTTTGATGACTATACAGATACTAATGGTGGCGTAGAAATCTCCGGAATCCCAATGAATCAGTCCTTCAAAACTTTCCGATCCTCAGGTATCAGCAAACAGAACAGAAAAAGAAATAGAACCAACTATGGACACATTTAATAGATTCCATTCTGAACCGAATTGCCATTACTTTCATTATAATTCTTTTTCTACATAAAAAATAATTTGATGATTTTTTTTCTTACTAAAATACCAATTGACACTCTTCTCTAAAATAATGATCCCACCTCTGATGCTCTAGAGATCCTTGTTTGCTCTGCTCCAAAATTTGTATTGTAAAATGGACGTCTGAGTTTGCTTGTTGTCGCGATAAAACTCATTTTTGTTATAATTTAAAGTTATAAAAGCATACCTAACATATAGAAAAATCATTAAAATGTATAAATGTCTGCTATGATTACTCCGTACTGAACACCAGAAAAAAAGAGATACCAAAATGGTAATGTAGATAATATATTTTGTTCAAATGCTGACTGACGTTTTTCATTCTAATTGTAAGTACATTATCTATACACTGAACTTTCGACGAAAATTTCTTTTATTTCCCAATCATGACATGGTGTTCACGGTGGGCCTGACCAGTCGGCAGAAGATGCTCACTCCTCAATGTCACCTGATCTCACCTCTGATGTTTTGGAGGTCCGTGTTTGTTCTGCTTCTATTTTGTATAGTTTTATAGACTTTTGATCTTGAATACTGTTTGATATCTCCATATGTTTCAAGTTTCAAGTAAAAATATATTTGTTTTCATGATGTGTAAAACCCTTCATGCTAGCTCAGTTGGTAGAGTGCTCGCTCTGTTATCGGGAGGTCGTGAATTCAAATTTCGGCCGCGACTGATACAAAATAGAAATAATTCTTCCTTTGCAATGCGTTCGGCAATTTGAAGGGAAAGTTTCGGGTCCTTTAGATGACACATTAAAAACCGAGGTCCCGTGTTGCAGTAGGAGCTAGCACGATAAAAATCCGTAAATGCTCAATTTGGCCTCGTGTGCCGAGAAAAGATAAAAATTTGAAGCCCTTCTCCGGTATATGTTGACGTCTCTATATGAGTGAAACATTCTCGAATAAAACATATGAAGATATGAACAGTATTCAAGATCAAAAATTCAAAAAACAATACTAAAAAAGAGCAAAACAAACATAGAACTTCAGAACATCAGAGGTGTGATAAGTGCCATGGAGGAGTGAGCATCCCCTGCAGACCGGTCATACCCACCTTGTCCACCTTGTCATGATAGGGAAATAACGGGAAAATCCGTCTTCAATTAAGTGTATAAAAATGGAGTGATGAAGGATATGGAGATAACGAACAGTATTCAATATCAAAGTCCATAAAACAATACAAAACAAGAGCAGAGCAAACACGGACCTCAGAAACATCAGAGGTGGGATCAGGTGCCATTGAGGAGTGAGCATCCCCTGGTGACCGGTCACACCCGCCGTGTGCTCATTGTCATGGTCGTAAAATAAAAAAAAAATCCGTCGTCAATTCAGTGTATAAATAATGGACTAACAATTGGTATGAAAAACGTCAGTCAGCATTTGACTCAATGATAAAATGATTTGCTGACAAGGTCATTGTATCGACCATAGAACTTACGAAATGATAAATTCAAAAGTATTAATCATCATAGATTTCCTCGTCCGATACAGAGTCTCTTTTATTCAAATGCCGCCTGTATCATTAATTTTTTTTATTCCTCCAACATTTTTAAGAGTTTATTTAGGGTTTATTCCGGATATAACACAAAAATTGCATCGTTATCCGCCACTCTGTCACGTTCTACAATGTAATTGATCGTTTTTTTCTCTTTTTTTTGTTTTTAATGAGGATTACCTGTCTTGTCAAATGATTTATTTTATATTAAGCCAGTATTTTGAATGGGAATAAATGTAACACTTCTTAATTATACATCTTGGCTTTTTTGTATTTGCCGCATTTTACAGAGAATATTACTACAGACATTATTATTGTGTTGCTTGTAAATTACTTAATTTTGACCCACTCTACGATCCAATTTTTGCATTTTTTAAATGTGGATATGTTTGATAAAAACTTTAATATTTTGAAAAAAAAATTGACACAAATCATTTAAAATTACTGTTAGGATATTTTTACCATATTTGTATAACCTATGACGTAAAAAAAGATATGCCAGTAGTCCACGAACTTTCCGAACAACCCTCGTATAAACCTCTGACAGAACTCATAAAGAACTGAACTAATCAAATGATCTTTTACAATGATTGCTTTAAAGTCTTAAATTTCAGTGTTCAGTAGTTGAGAGAAAAAGAAAAGCAAGAACACTTGATAGGATTTTGTATTACATGTTAAACGTAATTAAATTTTAATTCAAAAAAAAGACGTGTCATTTTGAGAAAGTCTATGCGAATTAAATGCAGGATGTAGACCTGAAATATAGTAGAATGCAAACGCTCATTATATTTTATAATGATTTTATCATGATTAAGAATAATACTTATGTTCACAGCATCTGTTCTCTTTCATTGCAAATTTAATTACAAATCTTAAGTGCAACGAGTAGAGTTTGAATTATCTCCTGACACACGAGATATTTTAAGAACCTATACTGGGCAACATACATGATTAAAAACACTACCTTGCATTCTGGACTTAAAAAATATACATATTGACTTGCTTTTGCTTTTTTTTATTTTCCCGTTATTTCCCGATCATGACAAGAGGCACGCGGCGGGTGTGCCTGGTCGCTTGGGGATGCTCAGTCCTCCATGGCAACTGACCCAATCTCTGATATATTGGAGGTCCGTGTTTGCTCTGCTCCTTTTCTGTGATATCCCCATATATTTTATGTCTATAATTTATATGACTTTCAAGATCCTTAATTATCACTTTTAGAAATATCAAAAATGTTAATCAACGTCACATAGGACAGAAAAACTACCATAAATCCTAATTTTTATACCAGACAGGAAATGAAATTCCAATATACATGTGGAGTTATCTCTTTCACGACTATAATTTAGCAAACAATTTCACAAAATTTTCAAAGCATAATATGACATGTTTAAAATACTGTTACATCAATTTCATTCGTGGGTTCATTGTTCCTTGGTAAGCATATAGTGCGTGGGATAGTAACTTCAAGGGAAACTCATATATTCAGATGATCCTATTAATGAATATAAAGACAAAATATGCTCATTGGGGATGTAAATTCATGAAACGAGTGACCAACGAAATACACTGACATTGGCTCCCAACGAAACAACGATGGTTCCAAAGTATTTGTTATATCAAATTTTATTATAAACGCAGAAAAATGGGATTCTTAATTCATTTTGTGTGTATTTGGTTCTTTCACATTATGAGAAAGCATTCTGCTCTAAGTATAAAGATAGGCTTTTTAGAAAACATGAATAAGAAAAATGTTGATATCAAGGGACTTCTGTTACACAAAGCGATCTTTTTTTTGTTTTTTTTTACTTTTAAATACAGCAATAGATGCAAGACGTGTGTTTTTATGTTTGCAAAATTGTAATTTAACATCAACATCATCTAAAAATGATATATAAATATAATTATTTTGTGAATTGAATACTCCCTTGCCTATTCTGTTACCATTCGTTGATAAAAATGACTTCCGCTTCTGATTCCATTTATAATTTAAATTTTTAACAGGATGTACTATGATTCATTGAGCTGAAATAAAGTTATAAAGGAAGAAATTCTTGTAAAATATTTTCCTCGAATAAAATTTGTTACCGAGAATCTAAACGGACATGTCAGAAATGAAAATAATGAGGTTTCCAAACGCTGTGTATTCTGTGTGTTTTACTCAAACTTTTACCTTTGTACTTTGTCAGACTACCAGCAATGAAGGCCAGTGTGGGTACGTGTAACTTTGTAATTTTAAAGCTTTAACCTTACTGTAATATTTAAAAAAAACAACATTTGTTATGTACAATTGCCAGTGCATATTCATTTTGACATAATAAATAATTTGTGGAACTTCTCGTTCATTAATATTTTCGTGTATTTTTTGTATTGCAATATGCTTCACATACAATGCCTGACAACCTTAATGAAACCTTAAACTAATAGTGAATGAAACGTATACTTTTTAAACAAGTATTATAGAAAATGTATTTCTTTTATTCTCAGACCCAGTTCTTGCTGTTCAGGCTTCCAAATGAAAGATGGCTTTTGCAGAGGTACAGTATGAAACGGAGAGAAATTCAAAAGAGTAAAAAAAGTCAATATCTTAAAAAATTCCAAATTTCAATTTGAGTTTATAATTGTTATTATCATTATATTACATAAGGTAATATCATTATTACCTTATTAGTTAATGATAAAATTAAATCAATATTTAATGATTAAAATAAATCAATATTTCATATTCAAAGTTTGTGAAGATGGTACATATGGAAAAAACTGCAGCAAACCTTGCCGAGAAGGTTACTTTGGACGTCTTTGTAAATCAAATTGTTCCTCACCATGCAAGCTTACATGTGATAAAGTCACAGGGCAATGCAAAAACCATACGTCTATTTGTGAGTTTATTTTCCGAAGATTATCAAGACGATGTATCTAAAGTGCTATCTTTAAGATAATTGTGTGCACATATATGTAAGCATAAGAGTGGCTAATAAGGTTTTCTAAACGTTTGTAGATATCAATAGTTTGGAGAACTTCCTTAAGAATAATTCCTGGGTTTTAGCTATTGTTTCTTCCGTTCTTATGATTTTGTCCTTTGGATGCATTGCATTTCTGTTCTGCTTTCATGTGTGGTAAGTTGCTGTGTTTTTTTTTCCAATAATGATATGCTAAATTTCATCTACAACGCTTATAAACAATTGAGATATGTCAAATTCAACATATATATCTAACTTTTTTAGTCGAAAAAGAGAAGACATGCCATTGATTTCAGGTATTTTAGACTTTACAGAAGTGATACAATGAAAAACTATTCAGCTACGAAATAAGTATACTATAAACCAAATCGTTTGCCCCTAGAATCCTTCAATTATATATCTCTCTTATTGCAGAACGAAAGCAAAGAAATGTCCTAGCAGGATCTGTAAAACAAGGAAAATACACTCCACGTCGATCAAAGAAAATCCTGAAAGGAAACGTAGTTTCACTAACCTTCAGAGATGAAGATTCAGGAAGAAACAGGAACCCAAATCAAATGATAGAAATCAGTACTGAAATTAAAGAATTCTCAACAGATAGTATTCATGATAAGCAGAACGAATCAGGTCGGGAAAGAAAAAACCCTAGTGATAAGAAGCCCCAGTATCGGTACAGCCTAGCTAAAACATTCGAAATCACAGAGGAAATAGATATAAGTCAGGATTTGTCGGAAAATGAGGTCATTTTTGATAGTGACCATGATGTTGAATATGATAACACGAGATTCCAGAAGACAGAGTGAAGCATTGGAATGGTCAACGAGTTCCTGGGAAAAAAAGTCAACACGTTTTATAGTGTTCAAAGCCTAAGTTCATAAAAGAGGATTTCTGTAAAATGCGTTAATTATCCACTTTTGACCTTTAAGCTTAGATACTTTAACTTTTAGTTCAAAGTGTCATATACTTTTCTACATGTGCTGTTATCAGAAATATTTTATGTACGACTTGTCTATTTTGTGGAACTCTTTTGTGTTATTTCGTTTTCATTACGCGGGTTTTCAACCTGCTCTGGTTTGCCAGTTTTTGCCATTATTAATTATTTTCATTGATCCTAGTCAGCTCAAAATGTAAGTTTATTGATGTAAATTGTTTATCTAACAAAGATGTAATTAGCAAGATTTGTTTTTATTAGAGAAATATGAATTTAATTGTACACAGTTTTCTATACATATGACTCGATCTATGGCTGCCATTTTTGAACCTAATTTTGATTGATTTGTGTATATTGGTAAATCGGTAATTGTAATCATTTAAACCTAGTCTAAATTCTTTAAACTTTATTGTACTACAGAAATATGTTGAAATGGTTTCCCTTTATATATCACAATGTGAATTTGAGATCAGTTCATATGTGCTATGTTTACATGCATTCAGTGATTGTGTGTACATCAATCTTTCTTGTATTTTTTAGCTTTTTACCATCGTCTTTACACATCATCGCATCACATATCATCTGCTTCATCATCAATAAATGATCAGAAATTTATACTTTGGTGTATTGGTTAGCTATACTGTTGATCCAACAGTACAGTAAAAAGATTTATATGACCCACGGATCTTCACAACACAGTCATCATGGCAGACAAACAGGAAGAATCAGAGAAGCGTTTACATGTTCCAACGGAGAAGGGTTTAGCGGTATTCGAAGCTAAGTGTGTTGATTATAAGAAACGTATTGACAAGTTATGGAGCACAGTTGAAGACATTATTCTTAGTATACAAGGAAGTGACAAAACCATAAAAACATTACGCAAATTTGATGCTGATATTCGTGCAGCCTTTGAACCATATGTCCGTTATGCTGATGAGTACAGAGATTTCCTCATACGTACGAACAGTGAGGCCTCCAAACATGAAGAGACAAGATTTACGGGAACTTTTGTGAAAGCGAAACAGATTGTTGAAAATTCATTGGAGCAAATAAAGACTTTGCGACTAGACTTGGTGGAAACCGCTTCCCATATATCTGGTGCAAGTTCAGGAAAGAGAAAACAGAAATTAGAATTCTTAAAGAAAGAAGCAGAACTTCAGAAGGAAAAGTTGAAATTAGAAGAAGAGGAAATCACTCGGAAAGCTGAAGTGCATAGGAAGAAACAGGAATTAGACATTAATCTGAAACTTTTGAAAGAGGAAAATGTGGTCATGGACGAGGAGTCTGAAGGTTCTTTTTCATTGGATATAGAGTCTGAAAGCAAAGATGAACAGGTACGAAGATATGTCGAAAGTCTGAATTTCCGTGAAAATGATGTTGTGAGTTCAAACTTACATACTCCTGTTCCGGACAAAACTATACCCATTCCAACGCCTTTCCGACCAATACAGAGTTATACGAACCGTGTTCTACCTTCAGCTAGTGCACCAGTTTTCCATCCTGCGGAACCAACATCTGCCATTCCTCCTACTCAGTTTGATTCTGTTCCCATAGCTCAACAGTTTCCTAACAACCCTGCGTCCGAAAACGCACTATCAGATCTGACATTGTTTATGATGCGAAAACAGCTTGTACCTGAGAGACTGTCAACATTCGATGACAAGGCAGAATCGTATAATTCGTGGAAGTGTTCATTTCTCAACATTATGAGTGAAATCAAGGTTTCAAAGCATGAAGAACTTGATCTTCTTATCAACAGACTGTCTGGAAAATCTAAAGAGGTAGCAAGCAGCATTAGGAACGCCAATCCTGGAGAAGTGAACCGTGCAGTGAAATTGATATGGGAACGTTTAGATGAAATGTTCGGGAGACCAGAAATGATTGAGTCATCTCTTCGATTACAGCTGGAAAACTTTCGTCAGATTGCTCCTAGTGAAAACAGTAGACTCTATGACTTATTGAACATTTTGATAAAAGTAGAATCATTGAAAGCTAATCCACAGTTTTCAACCAGCTTAGCTTATTTTGACTCGTCAGCAGGGGTTAACCCCATATTGCAGAAGTTACCATACCATCTGCAGGAGAAGTGGATCTCAAGAGCGTCCATTTACAAAAGAGACAATACTGTACATTTTCCACCATTTTCCTTTTTTGTACAGTTCATAAAGGAAATGTGTGCTATTAGAAACGATCCTGCATTTATGTTCAACAGATCAGTGACTTCAAGTAATAGAAATGTTACCAAGATGCCAGCCCCACGGGCTCCTGGTGTACATGCTCGTAGAACGGACGTGAACGAAAATGCAAGATCAAACTACAATCGCTGTCCATATCATAAGGCGGACCATAGCATACATGAATGTAATGGATTTCGTGCTAAGCCACTTACGGAGCGCAAGAACTTTCTACAGAGTAGACGCATTTGTACTAGATGTTGTACCTTTAAACACTTACCTAAAGACTGCACCGTCAACATTCAGTGTAGAACGTGTGGTAGTCATTCTCATGCTACAGCCTTACACCCAGAAAGATCCTATGTACAAAGAGGAAGTGTTCACGGCGGGGAGGCTAACCGTCAGCAATCAGAAGCATCTTCACAATCTACGCAATCTGCTAGACCGGTGGCGGCGACAACTGATAGCATATCTACTACACCCTTTACAACTGACAGAGTGTCAACTTCATGCACACAGTTCTGCGGTGAAGGGTATAAAGGTCGTTCATGCAGCAAAACCTTACTTGTGGATGTGTTTCACTCAGACTTTCCAAACTCTACAGTACGTTTGTACGCAATACTGGATGACCAAAGTAATCGATCTCTCGCATCACCTGACCTATTTGATGTCATGAACATTACAAGTGAACCCACCAAATACACACTCACGTCATGTTCTGGAAACACAGTGAGATATGGTAGGAGAGCTCATGGCTTTATGGTTCGATCCGTTGATGGTTCAGTTATTTACGAGCTGCCTTCCCTTATAGAGTGTGATGATTTACCCAATGAACTGTCGGAAGTACCCACACCAGATGTGGCTAAGTCCTTTGACCATCTACGAGATATTTCATCTCTCATCCCCGAGTTTGATCCAAACTCCAAGATTCAGTTACTTATTGGAAGAGACCTACCTGAAGCTCATCATATTAAACAACAGATTGTGGGTCCGAAAGGCACACCATATGCCTTAGAACTAGGGCTTGGCTGGGTAATTATCGGTGAGGTCTGTTTAGGAAAGATCCATCCTCGTGACTCTGTATGTGTGAATAAAGTGTCAATTCTTGGTAACGGAAGTGCAACCTGCAATGAACCTTGTCAAAACTACCTGCATGTCAAGGATCATATATCGACATCTACAAGCGCACTGAGTGATCGTGATTTTCGTGGTGACAATGTATTCACCAAGACTTTACGAGATGACGAAGTTGGCCTATCAGTTGAAGATCGTGTCTTCTTACAGCTAATGGACACATCATTTAGGAAGGATGAGGAAGGGTTTTGGACGGCACCTCTACCTTTTAGACAACTTCCTGATTACTTACCAAACAACAAACCCCAAGCTTACCGTCGTGCTCAAATACTTCACTGTAGTTTGCAGAAGGATCCCTTGAAAAAAGAACAATTTGTAACATTTATGCGTAAAGTACTAGACAGTGGAGCTGCGGAAGAAGCACCTTCTTCCTCGGAATCAGATGGCCCTTGCTGGTATCTACCCTTGTTTGGCGTACAAAATCCGAAAAAACCAGGACAAGTCAGAGGAGTGTTTGATTCGTCGGCGGTCTTTGAAGGGACGTCCTTAAATGGCATGCTTATGTCTGGTCCAGATATGGTGAACAGCTTATTGGGGATTCTTCTACGGTTCAGAAAGGATGAAGTCGCAATGACTGCTGATATTGAGCAGATGTTTTATCGATTCAGAGTCAATGAGAAACATCGCAACTTCCTCAGATTTTATTGGTATAGGAACAACAACCCGGATGACATTCTCATAGAATACAAAATGACAGCCCATGTATTCGGGAACAGCCCATCTCCAGCCATAGCTACCTATGGCCTTCGTAAAACTGTGGAGAATGCTGACTTAGATGTGAAGGACTTTGTTAATCGCAATTTTTATGTAGACGACGGGCTAATTTCACTACCTTCCGAGTCTGATGCCATCAGTCTTATGAAACGCACACAGGCTACAATGCAGAGTGAAGGCAAGTTGAGACTCCACAAAATTACCTCAAATAAAAGAACTGTCCTCGATGCATTTGATCCAAGTGACCATGGCGAAAATCTGAAAGAAATAGACAGTGATGACACAGTACACAGAAGTCTTGGATTGTGCTGGAGTCTGAATGACGACACGTTCCGATTCACTATCCCAGCGGAAGAGAAGCCATTCACACGTCGTGGCCTCCTATCACATGTAAACAGTTTATTTGACCCCTTAGGATTTATCGCTCCGATAACCTTAAGTGGAAAGATCCTCCTTAGAGAAGTGACCTCTACAGGAGCCGACTGGGATGAACCTTTACAATCGGACCATCTTCAAAAATGGACGGAGTGGATATCATCTCTTCAGATCCTGAAAGGTGTCACCATTCCACGAATGTTATCACATGTATCCATTAGCATAGCAAAGACTGTAGAAGTACACATATTTTGTGACGCCTCGGAAAAGGCGATAGCAGCATCAGCATACCTGAAAGTGACAGACAATGATGGACATTCAAGTGTGAGATTCTTGATGGGAAAGGGAAAGTTAGCGCCATCTAGAGGACATACCATCCCTCGCCTAGAACTCTGTGCTGCAGTTTTAGCGACAGAAATAGCACAGATAATATCTATACAACTGGATATTCCATTGGAGTGTATGTGTTACTACAGTGACAGTAGAGTGGTCCTTGGATATGTCAGCAATCGTACTCGCCGCTTCTATTCCTATGTGAGTAATCGTGTTGACCGCATCCTCAAAATCTCAAGTGCCGACCAATGGAATTACATTTCTACAGATAGAAATCCTGCTGACTCTTGCACTAGGAGCATCTCTTGCAATACAGATATTATGCAACTTCCATGGATCGTTGGACCACAGTGGCTCTGTGAAGCAAAGAGGACAGATGATGATAGTGAAAGTTTTTCACTCATAGAACCTGACAGTGATGTTGAGGTTAGACCACTGATGACAAAAATCAGCACTGGACCTTACTTACCCAGTCAACTCGGAACAGAGCGATTTGAGCGATTTTCCAGCTGGAAGTCTTTGATTCGTGCAGTTATGAGTCTTCAGAAACTTGCTAGGAAACTACAGACTTCCAAGAATTCTCAGCAAGACACTGAATCTACATCTCACATTGATGAATTGATGAAAGCAGAGTGTTTAGTTCTCAGAGAACTTCAAAAAGAACATTTTCAAAGAGACATTGAATTCATTATGGATGAGAAGCCATTACCCAGAGATAGCAAGATTGCGCAGTTGTCACCCTTCCTTGATAAAAGTGGACTCCTTCGTGTTGGCGGTAGGATCAATGCAGCAGCCAATCAAATACCTGCTAAGGAAGTAAATCCCATCATATTACCGAAAGGAAGTCATATAACATGTTTGATTATACGGGATTTCCATGAGAAAACCAAACATCAAGGAAGGCTTTTCACTGAGGGTGCAGTTCGCACAGGAGGTTATTGGGTCATTGGAGCTAAACGAGTGATATCTTCCCTCATACACAAGTGCGTAACCTGCCGTAAGTTGAGACGCTACAGAGAAACTCAGAAAATGGCTGATGTGCCAGCAGAGAGATTAATTCCAGGTCCACCTTTCACTTCTATTGGTATCGACGCCTTTGGACCCTGGGAAATTGTAACTCGTAAAACTCGAGGAGGCGCTGCCAACAGTAAACGTTGGGCAATCCTATTTACATGTTTAGTATCAAGAGCCTTGCATATCGAGGTCATTGAGGAGATGTCGAGTTCCTCCTTCATCAATGCCTTACGACGTTTCTTAGCAATACGAGGCCCAGTGAAATCGATACGTTCTGATCGAGGCACAAATTTCATAGGAGCTGCCGAAGAAATGAAAGTCAACACAATAAGAGTAGAAAAAGGACCAGTTCAGGAGTTCTTAGAGACATCAGGAATTACTTGGAAATTCAACGTACCACATGCATCCCATATGGGGGGTATATGGGAGAGAATCATCGGGATCACAAGAAGAATTCTGGATTCTATGTTACTGGAATCACGTTTCAAACCTCTAACACATGAAGTACTGGGGACCTTTATGTGTGAAGTCTGTGCTATAATTAACTCGCGTCCCATCACGCCAATATCCACAGATCCGGAGGAACCTCTTGTTATCAACCCATCTATGATCCTTACAGGAAAGGTCGATTTCTTACCTGTGATATCCCATTCCTTGGATATCAAAGATGTTCATCGTGCGCAGTGGAAGCATGCCCAAGTGTTAGCTGACATATTTTGGCAATATTGGAAAAGAGAGTACTTAAAGACACTGCAGTCGCGACGTATATGGAAGGACAGACAGCCAAATGTGAAACCGGGTGATGTTGTGATAGTTAAGGACTCTGCAGTGCACCGAAACTACTGGCCGATGGGTATTGTTGAAAAAACATTCGCAAGCGATGACGGTTTAGTACGAAAGGTTCAGATCCGAGTGATTCGTGATGGCAAACCTGCATTTTTCATGAGACCTGTACATGAATTAGTTGTGCTGTTAGATTGAATTATTATACTGTATTCGATCATGATGTTTAGTTTTTGATGTTTAGTTTATTTGATCAAATATTTAGTAGTGGTATTTTATACCAGACGGGGAGTGTGCTGTTATCAGAAATATTTTATGTACGACTTGTCTATTTTGTGGAACTCTTTTGTGTTATTTCGTTTTCATTACGCGGGTTTTCAACCTGCTCTGGTTTGCCAGTTTTTGCCATTATTAATTATTTTCATTGATCCTAGTCAGCTCAAAATGTAAGTTTATTGATGTAAATTGTTTATCTAACAAAGATGTAATTAGCAAGATTTGTTTTTATTAGAGAAATATGAATTTAATTGTACACAGTTTTCTATACATATGACTCGATCTATGGCTGCCATTTTTGAACCTAATTTTGATTGATTTGTGTATATTGGTAAATCGGTAATTGTAATCATTTAAACCTAGTCTAAATTCTTTAAACTTTATTGTACTACAGAAATATGTTGAAATGGTTTCCCTTTTTATATCATAATGTGTGTTTGAGATCAGTTCATATGTGCTATGTTACATGCATTCAGTGATTGTGTATACATCAAGTTTTCTTGTATTTTGTAGCTTTTTACCATCGTCTTTACAAATCATCGCATCACATATCATCCACAATAACTGCTTCATCTTCAATAAATGATCAGAAATTGATATTGGTGTATTGGTTAGCTATACTGTTGATCCAACAGTACACTACATTTTTCTCTTTTTAAATCAAATATATAGTTAAATGATCATGTAGTGTAACAAACCTTTTATAAAGGAAGAAAAAACCCTCAACGTTTTCTTTGCCTTGCTCTTTTACTTCCAGCTGTTTTTGATGTAATAGAGTGCTTTGATGCAAAGGAAATAGGTAATGTAAACGATTTAGTAGGCTTTAACATTAATTACATTAACATTAATAAATGGTAATGAAAAAATTATAAATGTCCATGGTTTAGAAAATGATGAACAATGAGTACATAAGTACAAATGCATTTGGCGAGTTTTGAAGAATTTGAAAAACTTTGTTTTAGCTTAGTTTATAAATATATTTCATTTGCGTCATAATACAAAATACCTGTTTTCCGTAGGTAATAAGGCAAATGTGCAGTTTTGTTTATAATTGATCGTGATTTCAAAAATTGTAAGGAATGATACATGTACAGTGAAACTATTCAAATCATACGAATTTTAGTAACACGTCTCAAGTTATTCGCCAAAGACTTTGTTCTCAGACGGTCACATCCTGATGAACAGAAACTCTCAATAAACTAAAGCGACGGAAAATGCATAAAAATTTATTTATGATATTATATTTCCACTTGAACGTTAATTTAAAAATATGCTTAATTTGAAGCCATTTTTGAGGAAAAATTATCTAATTGTCTACATTAAAATCAAATTAAATTATATGGAATGAAGCTTATTTTAACCAATGTTATACCATGTGCGCTGTTTACAAAACGTAAACTGCCCCAGGTTATTACTGTTCTATTCTATGAATAATCTGAATTTGTTACAGAAAGTGTAACATTCTAATAACCTTTAATAAAATTATACGGAAAAATTCACTCATGGATTAGAAAATGAACTATGGTACTCAGATGCTCAGATGCTTTACGGACAAGTCAAGCATAAACGTTTACATGATAAAACCAAAATGTTTCTAAATGTCTTCCGATACTGTTCTTCAACAGCCAATATGGAAAAAATTGTAACTTTGTTTATAGAGGAAATACATTATGTTTTAAAAACTGGATAGCCAGTGCTATTTTACATGTTAAAGATCTATTTGACGATGATGGTTATTTCAAATCTTTGTTAGAATTTTTCAATTGTATAAAAAACAAGTCAAACCGGTTGTGTGAATTTAAAATTCTTACTTCTGTTGTCTCTTCTACAAAGGATATGTTAATGTCATAGATTAAAGATGTAGCTTTTTCTATGACAATCTTGTACACAGAAATTTTTGCAAACCATGTTACACTGTATCAAAAAGTTTTAAGCAAAGAATCAGTGTTGAACATTCAGAATGGAAAATATATATCAATGAAAGTTATATGACAACCCGATAAACAGCTTACAGGATTCAACCACAAACGTTTAAACAATACTCTTTGTAACAATTCCTACCTCAGTAAATGAAAAAAAGAAACAAGTAGTCTTTGCAAATTATGCAACGTGAACGAAACTTTAAAAATCCCATGTTGAATGTAGAAATGTTATTAATTTATGGAAAAGATTAAGTTTTTACCTGAAAGTAGATATCAAATGGAAACATGTAATCATTGGATTAAGCTCTGGGCGCAATAGAAAAATTGTATCACAAAACGCTTTCATCTCTTATATTGCCAATAGAATTAACAAAAAGGATATGGAGATAACGAACAGTATTCAATATAAAAATTCATAAAACAATACTAAATTGTAGCAGAGCAAACACATACCTCCAAAACATCAGAGGTGGGATCAGGTGCCATGGAGAAGTAAGAATCCCCTGCTGACCAGTCACAGCCGATGTGTGCTCCTTGTCAAGTTCAGGAAATAGAGGAAAAATCCGTCGTCAATTCAGTGTATAAATAATGGACTAACAATAAGTATGAAAAAAGTCAGTCAGCATTTATCTCAATGATAAATTGAATTTGCTGACAAGGTCATTGTTTCCACCATAGAATTAACGAAATGATGACTTTAAACGAGACTGCTGATATTCTTGTTTCATCAACTTGCTTGTTAATAATTTACCTTGTTTTAGAAAGAATTCGTACGTAGAGAGTGCTCATGCGTATCGAATCAACTATGATAGATAGACTCCGTATGCAGGTAATGAAAGTATATTGCTGCATAAGTAAGGGAAATTAACGATAGAGAAGTTAAAGTCATCACGTTTATGATATAGCTTGGTTGTTAGATTACCATTAACGTATTTTTCAACTTAAATATCCAAATATGAAACAGATGTGTCAGACTCTGTGGTATCTTTTATCTCAAACTCACCATGATATATGTATCGATGTAGGAATGGAATTGACTATTGTTAATTGACAATACGTAGTTGATATATCTAAATGTCGAGTTAAAGGCCACAGCAAGTGTTTTCGTCTTTTCGCGCATTATATTTTGCATAAATTCTGCTTCATATGAATATAAAAATAGATTGCTGGAGTACTTGGTCTCCAAAAACCATATAGATATTTTCAATCAGAAAGTCAAGCATCTTTGGTCAACTTCAGCGTACTTGTGTGTGCAATCAGAATCTGTTTTAACAAAATAATTTTGCAAATGAACAATGACCAGGTAAGTAAATTTTCGAGTTAAATTTTTATTAAAAAAGCAGCTGTCAATGAAATAAAAAAGACTGGACTTTCATTGATCCTGGGGAATGGTTGTGTATAAAATTGAAAAAAAAAGTCGTAAGTTTTTAAGCTATTGATTTTTTTTTAAATTCTTGTGATTTCAAATTGTCCAAAAATTCTTTGGAATGTTTGGGTATCCACATCTGATTCACACCACCTCTTGAATATATTGTTGCGCAGTACTCTTGAAGATTTTTTCAATACTAATGTATTGCAACGTATATTTGTTTGTAAGGATGTTTATGAAGTTTCGAAATCCAATGCATATAGGGTAGTTCAAATTCATTTTGGCTCTGTGGGATATGTAAAACATCTAAAACTGACATATGATTTTGAAGAATTTCTTCCTTAGAAAAGGAAGTATGATTATAAGTAGGATTACCAGTTGTAGAATTAAATCCAAGTTCCTCTAAAATACAACTTATATAATGAGCCTTTCAAACGAAGACATTGTTGTTTTATAAGATATAAGATGTACTGTCGACCACATTCCATATTCCCATTAATAAGTTTATTTTACAGGACACAGAAACAAAACAATACTGTTCAAATAAAATCTCTGGTGTTTAACAAACTCATAAAAACTCTATAACTGGAGTCTTATCCAGAAATTAAATTACTTATGTGCAAATGTAATTCTCTTAGACCCACGTTTAATCCCAAACTGGTAAGAAGCCAGTTATCATGAAAATCTACAATAATAATGTACTGTTAAATACATATTATTCAATCACTGAATAAAGTTTTCCCCCACACCACTTATAACTATCGAAATATTTAACCTAAAAGAACTTAATTAAACAGACACCTTGATACTGTAGTGTAATCTACTGGCTGTAGGCTGCAACTCTTGTTCTAACTATATATACGTCATGAAATACTACGAAATGACGTAAAATACGATAACCAATCAGCAACATCGCCCACAATTAATTAAATAAATGCAGCGAAAGAGAAAACATACCTGGTAACAATTTACCTAATAATCGTTAAACAAACACCGTTTTAACTATGTGATCATGTATACATGATCAATCGATTCATTTGTTAAAAGAAGATTACATTTTCAATTAAAGAAAATCAAAAGATTTAACCAATCATATTCATTTTTTTAAACAATCCGTCTTTAATCTGAAGAGATATAGAAGTATTGTGAAACATATGTAGATGACAGTTTTCAGACCAAAAGTCCATAAAACAATACAAAACAGGAGCAGAGCAAACACGGACCTCCAAAACATCAGAGGTGGGATCAGGTGCCTCAGAGGAGGAAGCATTCCCTGCTGACTGGTCACACCGGCCGTGTGCGCTTTCTCATGGTTGGGAAATATTTTTGTTTCTTTTAATTTGTTTGTCAATAAATTATCTCATTTAAATGAAATTATAAGAAGAGCATGATCTTGCCTCAAGTGCTCTAATTAACTGAGAGATATAAGAAGATAAGGTTATATTGCTGCATGATGAAACATACAGAGATAAAGAACAGTATTCAAGATCAAAAGGCAATAAACAATACAAAATAGGAGCAAAGCAAACACGGACCTTTTAAACATCAAATGAGGGATCAAGTTCTATGAGGAATTAGCATCCCCTGCCGACCAGTCACATCCGGCTTTGCTCCGTGTCATGATCTGGAAATAACGGAAAAATCCGTCGTCAGTTTAGTTAAGTGAAGATTATCATTGACGGTTTTTCCTAGCGAAATATCCAAATATGAAACAAAAGCCTCAGACTCTGCTGTATTTTTATATCATGCTCACTGTGATACATCGTGTGGACATATGAATGGGCATATTTATCGTTAATTGATAATACGTCGTCAGTCTCTCTTGCAAACTCTCTCTACACTGCACACTTAAGAGTTCTGACTCTGTGGTATATACAGATAACTCTCGATACCTCGAAATCCGCGGGACCGAGGAAAAACTTCGAGTGATCAAGAGTTTGAGTTTCCAAGAGTCCGGAATTTTTCAAGTTTGTTTGGCTGGTTTTAAAATTAGTCTTGCCGGATGTAATGATTTTCATGCAGTGCTAACTTTACACACGTGAGTTTTATAAAACAGCGATATGATTTCGTATTTTAGATGAATATTTATTAATCTGAGTACAGCTTAAAATGGACAGCGTCATTTTATGCTTATTTTTTTTCTTTATAATGCGGACATCATACTACGTATTCGTTATATGAAAACGACATTTAACAGCGCCGCGTGGTACATAAGATAACATGTAATTACATAGTACTTAATCTGCAATTTCAATTTCTCAGTGACACTGCGTTTCTAAATTTCAGTCAATGATAACTATTTTAATAGCATATGGGCAAAAAAGATTGATCATAATAAATCAATTATCACTTTGCAGAATAAGTGTCACCTGTAAATACACCCCGTTTATCGAGACCCGCGTCTTCTGCCTGGAGCCATTAAATGTCCAGGTAAAGTTACTAATTATGTAACTTGTATACACATAACCACTTCGGGGTATTAAGGGTTAATTTCAATAGAATATGCATAATGGGACTGCATTTCGACTTCGAGGGATCAAGGGTTTCGAGAGATCAAGAGTTCGAGAAATTAAGAGTTAATTTGCTTAGTTATATAGGTGAAAAAATCGGGACCGGAGACTCACTTCGAGCGTCAAGAACTTTGAGAGATCGAAGTTCAAGCTATCAAGAGTTATCTGTATCTGCATTTTGATCTGCCCTTTGATCTAAATTCCAAGAAAAAGAGATTTACAGTAAATTGATTAATTAAATTGTAACGAATTCAAGTATCCTTAACATTTTGAAAGGCCAAAATAAAGAATTTGAGGGGATTAGACGAGTCGTATGCCCACACGGAATTTTCACTCTGTTTAGCATATCGGACATTTCATAGTTGTACGATTTACCTAAACATTTAAACATTTTACATTACTGTACAGTATCTTTAACATGAAATGCTTCTCATACTGCATGATTATTGTTCTATCAAATATGTTTTCAGGGGTTGGGAGATGGTACGCTTTAGCTTTCCTTTTTAACCGTTTTTGCATACGGAACAGCCATATCTTGCTTGTCTACCCATGCTTGTTTACAATTTAATCGTGTAATATAGTCTTGAACTGAATGCATTCAAAATATTATATATCTTTAAATATATTTATTGATCGTAAATAAATTCATTATTTTTATTAATTTCGTTTTGTGTGAAAAAATTATATTCTATCTAAATTTAAATCTGAACTCAAAAATATCGTGATTCGAACACTCGCAACAAATATCTGGTTGCTTCAACACCGCTGCTATGACCACTCAGCCACGAAGTAGCATATCCATTGCCCTTTAAATAACAAACAGTTCTATATGTATAGCAAACACACAATAAGACTAGGAGTTTTTGAGAATATGTTCCGACATTAAAGTAGGAATACTAACTTTTTTACATAGAGTTGGTCTTCGTACCATTTTTTTTAAATAGTGAGAGGTACATTCTTCCATACTCTTTCAATATTTGTTTACAAAAAAATTGGTACGAAGACCCACTCTATATAAAAAAAAACACAGTTTTAACATTCAATTTCTATCATTTTCACAGTATTGAATAGCCTGTTACCTACCACTTTGATGGGTTAATTACAATAAATTTCTATGTCATTTGATTCAGGTTTCATCTTTACTGTATCTTTTCTGCTTATGGTTATAAATAACTCCAAATTTTAACATCAAGTGGAATTTGTAACAATTTTTAATTGATATTTTACCTGCCCTTGCGTTGGCATATGAATAACCTAATCCCCGAAGATTCTTTACCTTTTTTAGACAGAGCCATTTCAATTGACAATGTGGATGCTTCGTGATAAAAATCATTTTTATTAATACCTGTTCTCAAATGGATGAATGGTGTAACATTCCTTTGCCTTTTTCTAAATATGGATTTTCCATTTGAATACAATTTTTTATGGTTTTAATTGGAGATATAATTGAAATACATTGAAATATTTTGCCTTACTCGACAAATAGTTCTATGAAGGATGATTTACCCAAAAAAAAATCTTCATGAGAAGAGGAGAATATTTGATCTGGCGTTCTAATTTAAATATATGCATGTCAACACTCGATTGAAATTGAGTTTGAATGCAGAACAACAATTATATAGATAGCTGAATACTTATTGATCATGGATAAATAAAGGTTATTACGTATAATTACTAGACTAAGTATACTTAATAAACTCATTTCATACGGAACATGTTTTCGAAAAAGTGTTCGAGTGAAATAAAGTGCAATTTGTGTAGAGCAAAATCTCTCTTTGCTAAAATATGTTTCAATTTAATGTTTTCAGGATACATGCCATTGAAATATTTATATTAATGAATACTTCAACTGCATCAACTGAAGAGGGAAAACATTTTTTCCTGGTCTCTAGAAATATAAATCTATCATTAATTAGGATTTACAAGGAAGCAGTGACTGAAAAAGGTTTGCCAAAATTGAAAATGGACGTTCTGTTTTTTGTTATTTTCCTCTGTGTGGTCCATCTGGCTGTCACAAACGACCCAAACATGTCAAACATGTGTGGGTACGGAAATCTATTTTTATAAGATTCGTTTAAAATGCGTTTTAAAATAGCCGGATATTCAAAAGGAATATTTAAGCTAATTACTTTTTCAGTACTGGCATTTGCTGCTCTGGTTATTTCTTCAAAGACAACATATGCACAGGTAACATTTAGGTCTTAAAATAATTAATAGAAATATCATGTTGTCTAAATAAATTTATGTGAAACAGATAATTATTACATAATTACATAATTGATAATGAAAAACTAGTAAAAACATCTATCAATTTTTATTGTTTCGCATATATATATATATAGATATATTTTCTTGGTAGATAATTCTTTAAGTATGACTCATCTTAAATATTAAATTTAATATATGTTTATTTAAATGATTTAAATCGGACAGTCCATGATTGTAATAAGAGAAAAGCTCTTTTGAGGTAGTGTTTCTTGTTGTCGTATCTGAGTTTAAATAAATATTTACTCATCAGAAAAACCCGAAAACATTTTATTTTGTTACATTATAGGTCACCTGAGTAAAGGCAGGTGATCTATTGCTAACTGTTTTTGTCCGTCGTCGTCCGTCGTGTGTTAACATTTGAAAACTTTAAGCGTCTTCTCTGCAACCGCTCAACTAATTTCAACCAATTTTAAAACAAAGCATCGATTGATGAAGGGGAACAAAATTTTTGAGTTTTATTGTCCCTGTAAAATTAATGCAATCTTTTAAAAATCTTGTTCTTTACTTGTGGACATCAAGCAGTCACACTGTTGGCATGACTCTTACCAGCATTGAGTCCCCTACCAAAATTGTGAAATTCATGACCCCAGGGTCAGGGGTTTCAGTGCTAGGACAGTGCTATATAAATCATATTGTGAAATGTATCATTTCTTTGAAAATCTTCTCTGCTCCTGGGATTTAAATAATATACATGTAACCCAGTACATATTTATGTTGAATAAGGCTGCCTCTTCCAATATTGTAAATTTCATGTCCCCAGGATCAGGGGTTCTGGTGTAAGGGCGGGGATCTATTGATTAAATAGAAAAAATGCATAATTTTTTTTCTCTACTCATAAACATAAAATAAACTAACAAAGTACAAAGTCATAATGAACAAGAATGTATCTTCCAAAATCATGAATTTCATGGCTCCTGGGTCAGGGTTTCTGGTGTTTGGGCGGTGCTACATGTATATTGAAAATATAGCAAAAAAGCATTTATTCTTTAAAAATGTTCTACTATGCTCATGGATATTAAATAAACTTAAACCAATTACATATTAGTTTAAAATTATGTTGAATAAGACTTCCTCTTCTAAAATTGTGAATTTTATGGCCCCTGGGACAGGGGTTCTTGTGTTAGGGCAGGGCTCTATTAAATATTTCGTGAAAATGCATAAAATCTTTAAAACATTATCCCATGCTCCTGGAAATTAAACCAATGAACTTCTAGTATGTGCATTGTTAAAATGAGGAAGGATGCTTCTTCCCAATTTGTGAATTTCAGGGCCACTCAGTCAGGGGTTTGGAGTTAGGGTGGTACTCCAATGATAATTTAGTGAAAATGCATGGATTTGAAAATATTTTCCTTTGCTCCTGGATATTATGCCAATGAAGTAAGTACATATTTATATATGATGATGAAAGGTTCCTCTTCCAACATGATTAATTTCAGGGCCCTTGGGTCAGGGGTACGGGGTGGGTGGGGTTCTTAGTCTAAAGAAAAAATAATGCTTTCAAATCTGCTGTTTGGTATCAACCAACCATTTATAATGAAATAGATTTTAAGATAAAATTTCCAAAATTTTGAAATGTGTGGCCCCAGGGTTAGTGGGCTAGAGTACACGACTGGTTATGAAGTGGAAATGCATTTTCTCTTTATTACTGTGATCTACCTATGTATATTAAGTAGCCTAAAGTAAGCATGCTAAATGTATAATTATGATAAACAATGGCACCTTTTTTCAAAATTGGGAATTGCTTGGCTTTTGGTTTAAAACACAAACCAAATTTAATTGTGTGAAAGTTGTTACATGATACTCAGGTGAACTATAAGGCCTGTAGGCCTATTGTTATTTTTTGCATATACTTAAATAAATACATCTTTTTATATTTTATCTAAAATATATTGATAAACAATGAAAATACAAAGCTGAAATGTATAAAATGTATGATTGCCATCGATAGAATGTCCTCCTGGGACTTACGGACACAACTGTAGTGAAGAATGTTCTGAAGGCCGTTATGGAAGAAAATGTAAAGAGAAATGTCCGGAAGAATGTGCACGCAGTTGTAACAAAATAACAGGGACATGTCTAGGTACTACAATATCCTAAACTAGAAAATTTATTGACTGATTGGCAAAGGTTATCACTTTTCACTTTTATATGTATGTATAAAAATGCATATTTTCATTTCTAGCTGTTTTCTCTGTGAAAGCTCTTTGGTGGAGTTGATTTATTGATAATTCTAATGGAATGTAAATTAGGAAATAAAATCGATAGGTAAGGGGCTAAGGAGGCTTAATACGCATGTAAATCCTATGCACGTCTGTCTTTGTGACTGACGCTAAGCATGTCAAATCTGCATTAAATCTCCTGCGGCTGTCTCAATTTGTTTTTGACGTCATAGGGCGAAAATTATTGAAATTGACATAAGAGCAATTCACATCGATTAGTCTACATATGAATAAACTAAATCTGTAATTATTTCAGAATTAAATGAAAATGCAATGAATCACTTTCTAATTGGGATAATATGCCAAGGGTATCAACGACAGTGGGAAACGTGGGATAACTTATGCATTCGCCCTTTATGCAAATTATCCCACATAATCGTTGATGCCCTGGTATACTATACTTACTAGAAAGATATTCCTTAAACAAATTAGGTACATTATAAATTGTCATATTATACAGTTTGTCATTTTTCAAGCAATCATCATTCAAGATAATGCTGAGAGTTACTCTGAAGAAACTCCACATTTGAAGAATATTAGCTTTATCGAGCCTGATACAAATACAAACAATACCAATATCAGTATTGAGAAAAAGATAGAGGACTTTCTGAAAGATAAGCTATGGATCATTGCTGGAACCTCTTGTCTTCTTGTTGTCATTTCATGCAGTTGTGTTGGACTTTTTTTCCTGTGTAAGGTTTGGTAAGTCTTTCATTGTATCCTTTTAAAACTCCGATGTGATAAACATCATCAATGTTTGCCATATCTAATAATATTTACATAAGAAATGTAGCAGATGTTGAAAATTTAAGACGTCGGTTTTCATATCGATATTTGACTCGTTTCTTTTCATTTTTTTTATCAGTAAAGGCAAACGGAAGACAAATGAGGCATTGGGTAAATTAATACTAGCATTAATACATTTAGAATGATGACATAATCGAATAAAATATAATTATCTTTATCGTACAATAAAGTTACAGTTATTTAGTCAAAGACAGAATGTTTCTCTATAAATAAGTTTCTTTTTTATCAGATTACGTTACACCATCCAACCAGAATCAACATTCTACGTATAGCGAAAGGTATGAAGACCTTGATAATAACACCTCAACCAACCCCATTCTACCCCCACGTGCTAAGAATTGTAAAGGAACTACATCCACCACAGATAAAAATTATACAGATAAACCGGAAGTAGTATACAGTAAACCAAAACCCAAGAAACGCTACAGTCTGGTCCGGAAGTTAAAGGTGTCTCAAGAATTAACATCCCCGGAAGAAGATTTTGACAGTGACGAGTTTGATGACTATACAGATACTAGTGGCGGTGTAGAAATTTCCGGAATCCCAATGAATCAGTCATTCAAAACTTTCCGATCATCAGGTATCAGCAAACAGAACAGAAAAAGGAAAAGCACCAACTATGGACGCATTTGGTAGATTGTATTCTAAATCGAATTTGCAAAACTTTCATTGTATTCTTTTTATACTTAAAAATAATTTGCCGATCTATTTATTTTAGTAAAATACAAACTGACACTTTTGTCTGAAATAATGACTCCAACTCTAATGGTCTATGTTCCCTCTGCTCCAGTGGACTTTTGCGAGAAATGCTGATTTTTACAGTTTTCGGTTTACTTTTCACTAGAACATTGAACGGAAATTCTTTTAAGATATAAATATTTATTTATGGATTACTTCAATAAACAAATAAGTTGCCCTTGAAGAAAACGACAACTAACCTACCCTAATCTTCCGGCCTTCACATCTTAATGCCCCTAACACCATACCTATGACTACTAAATAAGTTTTCTTATCTATTATCAATTCTGTTCGTCCGTACATGATACAGGTTTAATCATGTCTAATTTAATCGTAATCTATCAAAGTCAGCGCTTCTCGCAAAAGTCCAATAATATTTGTATTGTTTAATGGAAATTTGAGTTTGAATACTGTTTGTTGTCCCAATAAATATCATAATTCATCATAATTTAAAGTGATATAAGCATACTAAATATTATGAAAAATCACCTAAAATCAATAAAAGTCTTCTATAGATACTTACAGAACACAATAAAGAAAAAGGCAAAGGAGTTACCTCAAAAGTACTGTTGAAAAAATATATTTAATAAAATAAAGAAACAGCTTCCATCATTTCCAAGACCAAAATTCTTCCATTAAGATGCGTTCAAGTCGTCTGATTTATACAACATGACGAAGCGGAGAATATATGAACAAAGCATGCCAATCTCAGTCCAAATCAAAAATGTACAATGAAAAAGGTATTTGGTATCTCCCTAAATCAAAATGTTCCATGAATAAGTGTGTCTTTTCATATAATTAATCAAATGAATTATCCTTTAATTTCTAAATTTCAAAATTTTAAATATTTAGCCCAAAGATTGTCATAATCTTGGACAGAACTCATAAATGAAATGAAGCTAATCAGATGATCTTTTACATTGATTGCTTTAATTTCTTCATTTTCAAGTATATATAAGATCTCCCATTGTGATAGTATTGATTTTATATTGATTTTAATTTATTGTATTTTTCTTTCAGATGCCATTGAAAGTTATAAAATAACTTTCAATAATAAACTTGATTTAAAATAAATATGTTTTATTTAAACATTAAACATGTAAATAAACTTGTAACAACTTACTCTAATTAAAGTCTAGAAATCTCTAGAGCCCTAAACTTAAAACTTAACTTTTAACCTTGAATAAATACATAAGTAAAAATAGCCATTGGTCAATATTTTCCCGCCAAAACCTTTGACCCCCTTTGTCCTGTGTGTCCAGCTAATTACCTGCCCAGGAGCAGCCAAAGTGTATAGTTGTGTTTTTGTATTTTTGGAGAAATCTTTAAGACCACTGACAGTAAGTTGACTTTTTGACATTCCTATTTCATATTAATATTTTCCTATTAATTCCTGAATGAAAGAGGGATATTGAGAGATTTATTAAATTATATAAGTTTGTCAAAAGCTGATAAACTAGTTGATTTTAAACTTTGTAATAAATGTATTTTATGACACAAAGAATATAATATATAGTGTATGGATGTTATTTATAAATTGTAGATATTGATAATCCATAAGCCATACACACAATCATGTATTAGAGAGGGATTCATACCCATAGTCTGGTATGTTGCTATATGTACATTAAGCAAGTATATAATTGTAAATAGTCATTATATTCACTATTATGAAGTGAATAAGAGAAATATCATTTGTATATTTAAAGTCAAGAGGTATAACTCATTGATATGTGTCAATATTTAATATTTTATAATCTAATTAAATATACAATGTATAGTAATTATTTGATTATATGATGACAATAGATTCTGCTGTTATATGTGATATCAAATTGAGTAAATGTATTTTATATTATTTTGCAGAATCTGCTTTATGATGATGCATTTGGTATTTATGCAACTGTAATAAACATCATCACAGTGAAACATCTTGTTTTCAATTGCTGCTCCCGATTTGTACATGTAGTTGGATATGATTTTTATCCAACTCGTTGTGTGTTTTCTCCCATCGCTTATCCAACTATTTATATGTGTGTTTAACACACATCGAGTTGGATAAAAGTCGTATCCACGACAAATCATGGGAGATTATTTTTATTCCATGTTTAATTTTTCCCAACCAATGTTTTAAGCTGTTTTATATTGGACTCCACGGTATTATACTTCATCACGCTTACGCAAAAACCATTGTGACGTCATAACTGCACCTTATTGTGGGATATCACGAAATATCAAATGAGTCATATCCATGGGATAAAGGGGTATATAAACACTGGATAAATAAATTTATAAAACAAAGTGGAATCCTACATAAAACCAGTGTAACACATTAGTTGTGAAGTATTAAACATGGGATAAAAAGAATCTCCAATGATTTATAGTTGGATATGATTTTTTCATGTGTCGCTAAGGCTCGGGGATAACAAACACTTGTTCGATAAAAATCAAATCCAACTATAAACCATGGCAGATCCTAAATATCACCTATAATGAAGTGTCCAGTGGTTGAAGGAAAAATAACATTTGAGAGGATTTTGTACATGTTAAATGATAATTGTTATAAAAAGTCATTTTGGGAATATCTGTAGGAAATGAAGGTTGTAGACCTGAATCTTGAAATATACTGGAATGCAAAATCCCATTATATTTTATCATGATTAAGAACAATATTTATGTTAACAGCATCTATTCTTTTGCATGCACATTTATGCATAAGGAACCGACGAGTAGATCCAGAATTTATTATCTTCTGACACACATGGTATATAAAGAGCCTATATCAGGCAACATTCATAATCACAAAAACTTGCTTAAATCCTGGAATCTAGATATGAATTAGCTTTTGCTTTTCAGTTCATTTTTCTCTTTTTCCCCAATTATGACAATAAGCACACGGCTGGTGTGACCGGTCGGCAGGGAATGCTTACCGATCCATGGCACCAGATCATCTCTGATGTTTTTGAGGTCTGTGTTTGCTTTGCTCCTATCTTGTATTGTTTAATTGACTTTTGAGCTTGAATACAGTTCGTTTTCTCCCTTCATTTCATATCTATTTATAATTTTTGTGGCTTTCGAGATTGTTATCATTTTTAGAGTAAACCATAAATTTAAATTTTCAAACAAGACAGAATGTTGATTCCGATATTTATATGTATTTTATCTCTTATTCGACTATAATTAAGTAAACAATTTCATTGTATTTTCAAAGCATCATATAGATATAACATTCTGTAATATCATTTTAATTCGTAGGGGTTCTTGTTCCTTGGTGAGCACTTTGTTCTTGGTTCATGGGATAATAATTTGGAGGACAACTCGTATATTCACATGATCATTTTAATAAATATAAAGACAAAATATGCTCATTAGGGATGCAAATTCATGATACGAGTGACCCATGAAATACATTAACATTGGTTCACAACGAACAACGATGATTTCATAGTACGAGTGGTGATCAAAAAGTTCGCGAACTATCTCTTTATCTACAAAACCACTCAGATAAGAATGAAACTCGGTTAATACATAGCCATGCACAAGGTCTATAAATAGCTTATGTTGAATAAGATTTTCTCCTTGTTTGTGACCTCACAATGTAAAAATGACGTCACTATGTAGGTCACTTGTGCCGAAAAATGTATGTCTCAGTCGAACTTGTTCAACAAACGACTGTACAATTTATTGTATATCTTAGAAATCCCTCTTAAGTATCATATAATAAGAGTAAGAGCCACTTTGGGTCTTTTTTGGCCCTGAGAATTTCTGAAAAATCAAAACCGATCAGTTTAGGTTGCAAATGCACTTGGAGTGTTGGTGACCACGTATCTATTAATCATGACTTAATTTCCCATCTAGTCAATGCATTATGGCGTCATAAAATGCATCATATTTCTCATATTCTGTAAATTCCTTTAAAAATGACCTACAGTTAAAGCGTCGACCCAGGCACGTCACAGTACCTTTGACTGCCGCACAATTGAATACAATAACGACACAATTAAAATGACGTCAAATTGCGCTAAAACGTTACGCTGATTGTGCTCTAAAGACTGTGTTAGTTGAAAGCTGGCTCATGCTGGCATTTTTATTACTTACATGTTTTTAGAAATATAAATATTTTGATTAATAAACAAATTTGAAACATAATTTATTTTGAGGTAACAATTTCTTCTACAGATTTATCTATTCTTATTTTGTTTTATTTCAATTTGTGAGTTAGAAAGAAATCCCACTTCAACAAAAGTAAGCGATTTCAGTCTCTCTTCTCGAACATGTTGAAGTGTTTATGCTCACCATTTTTATTGAGTATAAAGAGAAAATGACTTAATTTTTAGAAACTAATACATATTACAATCGTTTGTTGATGTTATGTAAACCTATTGCAACTTATAAAATATCTAGTTGGATAAAATAAGTCTTATTTTTGTGTTTTGATATGCCCCCTTTTCACTGCAATAAAGACTACCTCCGATTTTCTTTTCATTTTTAATAGAGGGATGCAAATTGAATAATATACATTGTATGGTAAAATCAAAACATTTCACCATTTCAAATTTTTTAAATTAGTCAATTCCTTTTTTTATTGTGGAGTTTTAGCATATAATTGTGCATAAAAACACGAAAAATTGTCCATATCTTGAAAGTGCCCCCATTTGACTACAATAAAGGCAAGGCAACAAAATTTCATTTTAATTTTTCTTAGCATAATACATACAAATTTATTTCCAAA